CTATAACTATTATAAAAGTATAATACCTATATAATATTATTATAATCAGAATAGTCCTATTTAAATACTAGTATATTATTAGGGTATAAGAATACCTTCTTAGTTAATTTTATCTATTCTAGTAGTTTATATAAAAAGATAACCTAAAGTAGTATAAGCAGGGTATTACTAAGTTCCTCTAGGTCTATATTATATTAACTATTAAGTACCTCTAGTCTAACTATCCTGATCCTAATAGTATTTATAGACTTAGTATCCTTTTTATTCCCTATCTTCCTAGAAATAAGCTTCTATTTAAGGCTTTTTAATATTTTATAAGATTATATAATATAATCTATCTTATTATAATTAAAGTACTTTCACTTTTCTATCTTTTTATAAATAGTATCTAATTCTATAGGTTCTAGTATGGTTCTATATAATATTTATAGGGTCTTTCTATTATACTAGTATCTAGAGGTATTCAGCCTATAAGTTTCCCTTAGAATCTAATATTATCTGTATTATTCTTCTTATCGGTTATTAATTTTAATAATTATACTGATATAGTCTTATAGGGTGATAGAGCAGTCTTATAGATTAATAATATTTTTAATCTCCTTCTTAAGTCCTTTATAAAAATAACTTATTAGATAGGATTACTTCTATTCTAGTTCTATAATAATATACTTAAAGGAGGTAGTATAATAAATAGCGGACTTAGTTTATTTAAGCTTATATAGCTTTTCTTTAGTAATTCTTTCCTTATTAATAATACTAAAAACTTATATAAGTTCTTATTTAAACTATAAGAAACTGTTTAAGATTTATATAAAGGCTTTAGTAGGTTCTCTATTTAGATATTTCTCTATATTAGCTATAAACTAGTTTATAGTTATTTCTTTAAGTCTTCTAAGAGTATATTTTACTTTCTATTATTTAGTAGTAAGTATAATAGGAAATATTTAGTAGTATATATATAGTCTATTAATAAATATTTTTAACTTACTCTAAGTTCTATTAAATATAGGAACAGGTAGTAGTTTTAGGGTTATACCTAGCTCTTATCTAGTAATAGTAATAGTACTTTTAGTATTTATAGTATTAATAATAGTCTTTTATATAGATACTTATTTTATACTATTCTTACTAATATTAGTTATAATCTTTTAAAGTTTAGCTACTTCCTTCTTAAGATTTTTATTATACTTATTAGCCTGCTTAAGTATATTCTATATATCTTCTATACTTCATTCGAGTACTTATAGTTTATCCTCCTTAGGGGTATTAGCCCCCCCTATAGAGATATTCTTAGGTAGAGATTAAGTATTTTATTCTGTAAGTAAGGAATTATTTAGAGCTATAGTAACTTTAGGTTTACTATTATATCTCTTAGTAGATAACTTAGTAAGCTATTAATATATAATAAATAGTACGCTCGAGGGCTATAGGGTAGCTTAAGAGTAATTAAATATCTTTATTTAGTAATAGTTATTCTAGAGAGAGAGGGATAATAGTTTTATTACTTAGAAGTTAGTTAATAAATTAGATAATAGGATAACTTATAGTAGTATATATAAACTGATATTTATTTATTAATAGCTATTAAGCTAGTAATCTATCTAGAAATAATTATATATATATATAATAGAGTACTTAGTAATTTCTTTAAGTACTTAGAGCTAAGTATCTCCTACTTAGTACTGATTACCTTATCTTAGCGTCTGAGTATATTATATAACCTGCACCTAACTTAGCCTGGGGCCAGCCTATAACCAGGGCGTAATAACCACCTACCCCCCTTAACCGCCCGCTTTTTACACTAAAAACCTGATTTTTCTAACCCTTATAACTAGCTAGTTACTAGCTTAAAAATCCTAAGAAAGAATAAATAGCTAATTTATATATATCTAAAGCTATATTTAAAATTTTAAATATATAGATTTAATCTAGAATTTTATAGAATTTTTTAAAATCTTAAAATTTTAAAAGTTAAGAATTTCTATAGAATCTCTATAGAAAACCTTAACTTTAGAAATCTATTTTTAATTTCTTTATTTTAAAAGCTATTAATTTAGTTTTTTCAGATTATATTAGTTTAAAAAATATAGAATTTTTAAAAATATTAAGATTAGTAAGAAAAAATATATATAGGCTTTTTTTTTACTTCTAAAAAAAACCCTAGTTAATTTTAAGCTAGTTATAAAAAAGAGTCTAAATAAAATTAATATATATTTTAAAAATCTAATTTAGATTTCTTTTATAATTTTAATATAAAGATATTTTTTCTGGATTTTTAAATATTATATATATAGACTTATTTTAGAATTTAATTTCTTAGTAATTCTTAGTAAAATAAAATCTTTATTTTTAAAGACTTATAATTAATTATAGAAATTATATAGGATAAAGAAAAAAATTCACTATTAATATCTTATATTATATTTTATAAAAAAAATATTATTTTATTTTTAGCTATTTTATCTAGCTAGTTATAAGGGTTAGAAAAAGCGGGTTTTTGGTGTAAAAAGCGGGCGGTTGAGGGGGGTGGGCGGTTGACTAGGGTGCCGACTTAGCAATTGATTAGGTAGGTAGATGCGCGATGCCGGGGAGGAGGACCATCACATAAGATTTAAGGTAAGCGAGGCCTTGTAAGACATGTCTGAGCCCGCCAGCCCATTTCCCGGTTCTCAATTTGACAGTTCACTTCTTTTCCTGTCCAATTGATATTGGCGGAAATTCTGGGACAATGTCGTTATCGTCAGCCATGCGGAAAGGCGTCACGCTGCTCTGTGCTGCAGCATTCACATCCGCTCTCCAGACCTTACCGCCGGTCAATGAGGTTTCAAACGAGGGGGGATCATCTCCATTGTCAATTGGGTCTGTGACCAAGACTATCTACATAGAGAAGGGGTTTGCTTCTACTAGAGATACAGACGGCCTCACTCTGATCCCACCAAGCGCCAATGAATTTGCCTCGCTGTTCCAACAGGATATCACAGAGCTCACGGGCTTCAACTGGACCCTTGAGCAGGTAGACAGCCTGCCCAGCACCGCCAACGCCTCCGGAATCTTCCTTGGAGCCTTCACGGGCGATGATTCCACACTGACATACGAGAATGGGGACCCCACGTCGGAGGGCTACCAACTCGATGTGAGCTCTACTGCAGCATTCATCCGAGGGACAGGAGCTCGCGGGATGTGGTGGGGGACTCGCAGCCTGCTGCAGCTGGCTCTCATAGGCAACGGCACCCTGCCTACGGGGAGCAGGATCGACGCACCCGCGTATCCCACGAGAGGCTTCATGCTCGACGCGGGCCGGAAGTGGTACGCGCCCGAGTTCCTCAAGGAGATGTGCAGCTTTGCATCCTTCTTCAAGATGAGCGAGTTCCACTACCACCTGAGCGACAACTACCCGCTCAACCGCGGACGCAACGAGACCTGGCAGGATGTGTATTCGCACTTCTCGCTGCGGCCCGAAGACGAGTCTCTCCTCGGCATACTCCACGGACGGGAGAACGAGACGCTCTCCCGAGACGACTTTGCTGATCTCCAGAGCCACTGCGCGGCCAGAGGCGTGACTGTGATCCCGGAGATTGAAGCCCCAGGCCACTGCCTGTACCTGACCAAATGGAAGCCGGAGCTTTCATTGGCGAAGAGGGACCTGCTGAACCTCACACACCCCGAGACCATCCCCACGGTCAAAAGGATCTGGTCCGAGTTCCTCCCCTGGTTCGAGACCAAGGAGGTGCACATCGGCGCGGACGAGTACGACTCGACGCTCGCCGACGACTACATCACCTTCGTAAACGAGATGGCCAGCTTCGTCAACGCCACGGCCGGCAAGCAGATCCGCATCTGGGGCACCAACGAGCCCTCGGAGAACCTGACCATTTCCAAGGACGTCATCGTGCAGCACTGGCAGTACGGCGAGTCGGACCCCCTGAAGCTCGTCGCTGACGGCTACACCATGATCAACACGGAGGACTGGTGGGCCTACATGGGCATGAAGAACGACCACATGCCCATCCTCCCGGCCAAGTACCCGCAGTTCTTCAACGAGGGCCGCATCTTCGACTTCGCGGGCGTGGAAGGCTGGCAGTGGCAGCCGTCCTTGATCAACCCGTTCAACGCCAGCATGCAGCTGCGCGAGGGGGAGCCGCTTAACAAGGGTGCCATAACGGCCGCGTGGAACGACAACGGACCGGACGCATCGACGCAGCTGGAGGCGTACTACACGATGCGCCGGGGCATCGCGCTCATTGGGGCGAGGGCGTGGAGCGGGAGCCGCGGGCCGGAGCTCGAGAAGGCGCTGGTGGCGCCGAGCATCGATTTCTTCTCACCGCTTGCCCCGGGTCAGAACCTGGGTCGGGTCATATCCCGGAAGGAGGGAGTGAGCAGGGACGGGCCCCTCGTCTCGTGGACTGGATCAGGAGGAGGGAATAGTACGGAGAAGCTCGGATACGGTAGCAAGGGCATGAATTACACGCTGCAGCTCTCGGCTACTGGGCCGTTCAGCCTCACTGGGCCTGACAACAAGCTGTCTCTGAAGTGTAGCGGCGAGCTGGTGTTCAACGCGGACGGCTACGAGTATCCCCTGCGTCATGTGGCTGCTCAGGACGCGCTCGTGCTGGACCCGGGACACCCAGGTCGGATCTGGGTCAATGTTTCGACCTCGACGCACGAGCCGGTGCGTGTGTCGACGCCGGCGAACATCACCATCTCGACGGACGTGCTGCACGGCAGTGTCGTCTGGCTGGATGGGAAGGTAGCCGGGCGTTTCGAGGTTTTCGTGTTTGGGGGCCGCAACACGCAGTTCAGCTGGAGCCAGATGGCCTTTGTTGCGCCGCTGGAGACTATCAGGGGAGGGTTGGAGGAGCTGGTGTTGTATGAACACACTGCTTTTGAAAAGGAGGAGGATTCCTTGACAACTCGTGCGTCGAAGCACGCGCGCCAGCGGCGCCGAGATACTTAGATACCGTTATTAGAATACCAGAACCAAGTTTAGATAAATCTGCTGTTCATTGTAGCGGCATACGACCTGTCATTAATCTAGCCAGTGAGACGATTTCCATCTCAACCAAAGCTCGGTCCTCGGGGAGCCGTTTGCGGTAGCTGTCCAAATCTATGTAGATGTCCAAAAGCCGCTCCTTTTGTTCGAGAGTGGCCAACTCATATGTAAGTATAATGCCCCTTTGCGAGGACGTCACCGCGACAAACGCCTCGTAGCGGCAGAAGTACGGGATGAAGTTCCAGACTTGCACACAGAGCGCCTTCAGATCCCTGAGCAATTCGGTTGTGTTGGGGAGGCCGTGGGCGCAGCTCCAGTCGTAGCGCATGCGGAGGATGCATACGCGGAAGCCGAAGAAGGCGATGAGGCCCTGTGCGGCCTGGAGGTTTGAGATGTGGTAACTCGTTCCTGTGATCGAGGTTGGGTCTTTCTCCTCGGTTGCCTCGCCGAGCTCAAACATCTTGTTGAGAAAGCCAGATGTGATGGTGCCTGCTTCCTGGTCCGTCCGGCGGAACTCCTCTGTGATGTCTTCTAAACCGGGCGAAACCGTCGTTGACTCGGTAGGTTTCCACAGGGATTGACGGTAGCGGATAAGGTCTGGCATCTTGGCACATATACCTGTGAGTTGGAAAAGAGCTGACTTGAGAGGCACCTTCATCTGCTTCAGCTCTGGGTAGTCGTACATGGCGTTCGAGATTGCGTCCCTCCACGGCGGATCATTCATGATGTTCCTCCATCCAGTCAATATCCAGTAGGGAACCTGAACAGCTACTGTTAACCAAGCCACATCTCTTAAGAGAGAAAAGGTATTTGGTGAGGGTCTAGACCTACTAGAATACCGTAGTTCTCGCAGACGAGACTGGTATAGAACCCGTTATCGAGTTTGGGGGGTCCCATGGCGGCCAGCAGAGTAGTGATGCCCTTCTCGTGGAGCATAGTTCGCCTCCCCGGGTTGAACAGATCCTCTGTCCGTTGTAGGATGGTAATAGCGGCAAGCGTCTCTACCGTGAAGGCGCTGCCAGACTCGAGAGCTTGACGCAGGCTTGTGATAGCTCGGCCGTATGCTGGCATCGTGACGAACTCGACCAGGGGCACGCCGCGACGGAAATCCGCCCAGACAGAGCAGAAGAGGTAGATGACATTGCACAGACAAGGGAACTCTGACAGTCGCTTGGGGAGATGCTTGAGATACTTTGTCTGGATGATCATACCTCGATCCGGGGCGCTGTTCAGATGAAGCACTAGACGCGCCGCGATGCCGTCAGCAATGCTGGTAGGGGGAAACTGAGGGCTGGGCGTCCGGGACGGGAGCCGAAGCTGAAGCTGGCGAGGCTCATTGTCATGGCCATCTTGGTCGATATCTTCCCCGAGCACAGGCTTGTGGTCGGAATGGAGCCCATCAGGGACAAACTTGAGCAACACCGATGGACCAGGGCATGTGACGCCTCTCCTATGGCAAGCACCGCACTGCGGCCAATACTGGTCGCACTACATCTAGGAAGTACTCATTTAGTTAGTGACGGAGGAGATCGCTCATTGTACTCGGCAGATGTCCAGTCCCGACCTTTATTTTCCGAACCTTGCATGTCCTGCAGCCCCTGGAGCGGGGCACACCGGGCATCGTGAGGAGGCTGAAGTCAAGGTATCAAGATGAGCTCCGACAGTGCGATTGATACCCGGGAGAGGTGGTTCTCAGTCTCCTGTATGGGGTGATGTTGATGGGGGAGAGGGAGAAGGCGCGAGAAGATGCCCAAGATGAATGATAGCGTTGGGGGCCATCCGTCGGCTTGCCCTTGCCGCTCAAAGGAGGATGCATGAGTATGGGATTGGGATGGGGCCTTTGGTTATAGCCGTGGACCCCCGTTACCCAGGCTAGTCATTTTAGGTGACGTTTCTTACCGAACGGCTGAATTGGAACGGTGGTTTAGGGTTACAACGGCGCGAAGCCTCGTGAAGCATTTTTGTGTGCATTTCTTGGAGGTGACTCAGTGGAGGAGATGGAACAGCCAAACGCCCATCAATGATCAGCGCGGCATGGAATCTATAGGGGCTGTGTTAGTGATGCGACAGGGCGCTGGCTTCTGCATTAGTGCACTCCAGTGCTGTCAGCTAGGCGGTCTAGTGGGTGAAATAAAACACCCGACGGCACATCGAGATAGTTCAGCGTTGAATTTCAACACAATATCACAATAAATAACCTCATACTGAATACAATATCAAGCTCAATATTATAGAATATTTTATTACTCTCTTATTATTTCTCTTATTATTGAGTTTAGTTAAAAGACGAGGCCCCTGCCTTACGCGGAAAGAGTTTGAGTGTGCCATGTTTTATTTCACCCACTGGGGGCTGAGTTGCTACTAACAAGAGACTCCCATTTGGAGAACAGCCATTGATCTCTTCTTGCCTGACTGTATACTTCACCTACATACGTACACTACTGAAGCTCTTGTTCTTGGAGCCCTGAAAGGTTCTATTCAACACTTGAAAACAACAGCCTCTCTGTATCCTGTACCATCAAGATCCGCCCGAAGCAAATGACTTGAGATACTCGGCATGTCTGGTGGCGATAGTGACGCTGAGTTGCCCCTCGCGATCCACGACATAATAGTCCATCAAATCCCGGATGATCTCCTCCTTGATATTCACAACTAGTTCTCTGTCACCCGCGACCTCGTGCTCCAGGAAAGAATCGAACTCGCCCGAGCACGCCATCATCTCAATCGTTTTGCCCACAGTGAGCCCCCGATCTTGAATCTTCACACCTTCAACTACGTCGTGAGCATATATAGTTGGAGGGTTGGAAAATAGACGCGGGTCCTCGTCCAAACCTCTACCCGGGGGCTTGATCAGCTTGAACCGGCCCCGGAGAGAAAGATTCGTGAGAGGGAAAGTGGTGACCATGGGGATGAAGAAGTCTGACCAAATGCATCGCCGACCTTTTTGGCGAAACTGAGGGCTATCAAGCATAAGGCAATTCTTTAGTCCCAGGTCTTTGAGCGTCTCTATATGGGCGCCGAGGAAATCCATGAATACGTATGTCACCATCTCGACATTTGTCAAGCGGAGTTTTCGCAACCGAGGCCAGGTATGTCCTGTCGGCCAGAAATCCTTAATTTCGGCATAGAAGGGATACTCGCGGTCGTGGGAAACGCTGAAGAACTTGAGCTTCACGTCTTCGAGTTGGGAGGCTGCGGAGAGGAAACTCTTGGCTCGGTTGTTGGCCATTATTCGATTGGCCGCTCGGAACCCCTGCCATCCCTCTCGGTCGTACTTGACGTAGATGCACAGATCCAAGACGCTGAGATTGGGGCCGACTTTCAGCATCTCAGGATAGACATTATCTTCAAACCACACCTCCCTCTCTTCATCAAACGCCTCGATGCCCAGCGCATCAACCCGCAGACTTCTGAGTTGGTCCGCGTTGGTGTTGCTCAATATTGGGCCCAGGATATGAACACCGGGGACAGCAATATTGGGTGGGAAGATGCCAACCTCGTAGGCCGGTAGCGTAAAGTAGTCTCTGAGATCACCGTGCGTTTTGCTTAGAAATTCGTATGATCGGTTGCTGTGTAGGTGGTATGGTGGCGGCGTACCACGAGGGTAGTGACAAATCCTCAGATTCTGAAGCTTAGCGAAGCGGCTGCAGACAATCTCCATGCCTTGCGACGGCTCCAAGGACTTGAAAGCGGCGCCCTGAGCAGCAAGCAGCGCATTGTAATGGCCCCAGCTCTGCTTCCATTCCTCTTCTGATGCCCAGATTCTGTCATTCCCATTAGTTTGATATATGATTGTGAGGCCCATGGCACCCTTGAAGTCATCGATGTTGCCAAAGGGGCGAAATACATTCGCCACGCAAGTAATGGCGGTTATGTGCTGGCTGAAGAAAGGGTGCAGGGAAATCTCATTCAGTCGGGCAATGCTCTCTGGCACAAGAGCGAAAGTCACTTTTGTACCAAGAGCAGATCGGCCGACTTCAGCTAAGACCCGGCAGACAAGACGGGCGCTGTACACGTCCCACTTGCTGGGGAGATATCCGAAGATTTGGAGGAGGACCTCCGCAGGAATGGACTTGATTGTGACCTCCATGGCGTCTGGAAAATGTAAGCATGGGCTTCAAAGGTATTCAATCTTCCGTCAATACTCACAAGTAGCTTTTCGGGTGCTTGTTTGCTAGTTTCTACGATTCTCTTCACATTCAACTGATAGACATGCGTCCATTACGAAGCAGAAGAAAGAAGAGGACGACGAGCAGGTGCTGACGGCGGCCTTATAAGTGAGGGGTAGCAAGGCAAGACATCTTTCAATTGGTCGGTTAAGATTGGGCACAACGCCTTGTCAGGCCGTCTGTGTGTGGCGAGCCTGCAGCCAAACTGCTGTTTCATGCATACGAATATGCATGTGGTCATCCGCATGAGTGTTGCACTTTTGAGCAGGCTTGTAATATCCCGAAAACTTGTTTATCTAAGCCCTCTATCCTATCTGAGGAGCGGTGTTTAATGATAAGGGCCGCCTTTCGAACCAATACCAATTGTGTGAACTTTTGGCAGCCAGTTAACCCAAGCCTTGTTGTATACACCAACCTAGGTGGAGCTGGTATGAAATGAATGGTGGTATTGTACCCCATGATGCCACCGCTCATTGCATGCCAATAAGAAAGGCAATACGGTGTCCCTGATGTCACCTTTAGTATTAATCGTCTGCAAAAAGAAAATTTAAATTGGTGATGTTCTATCTTGACATCAAGAACTGCGTCTGGAGTGGGAACCAGCAAAAATGAAACTATCGAGTGCCGATAGATCCTAGTCATTTCGATCTGCCCCGTACTGGAATCGAACCAGTGATCTTATCATTACTAGTGATACGCTTTACCACTGAGCCAACGGGGCTTCTGATCGTTGATTGGATGGAATGGTGTTAGATCTACTTATATTCATAATCAAGACTTTTGCGACTCAATTAGACGTTGGAGAGACCGACGAGGAGCGTGTCCAATGCTCAATAAAGAAGTCTTGAGTTTAAGTAACTTGAAGCATTGTTAGGGTTCCGAAGAACTCAGTCTTTGTAACAATGTCCCGTGCGGGCTACAATTTTATATTCAAGAGGAGAACAAACTCCTCGGCAGGACCTCTTACGAAATCAGAATATCAAACGGGGAAAACTCCAGTGCGACAAGTAGATTAAGTAATATAAATTCAAGAACGAATCTGATACAAGATGCTATATTTATTTCGTCTCAGCCTCGAGAGCATCCGCCATCTGACCAAGCGTGTCGAACTTCCAGTCGTAAATCTCACCCTCGCGGTTACCCATCACCGCGCCAGGGCGCACAATCCAGCTCGACTTGATGCCCATCTTCTTCGCGGGCTGGTGGTCGTGGAACTGGCTCTGCGCGGTCTGTATGATCTGGCCCTTGTCGAAGCCGAGCTTGCTCTTGACCTGGTCGAGCATGTACTCGAAGTTGCGCAGGTCGGGCTTGTAGCTGCCCACGTCCTGGGCAGTGATGATCAGATCAAAGGGGACGCCCTGTAGAGGACCAGCGTTGGTTCGGGAGAATGAGTCGCGGTCCACGTTGGAGAGAATGACGAGCTTGAAATGCTTTGAGAGGCGGCGCAGGGCGTCGACGGAGTCTGGGAAGGCGGGCCACTCGCCCACAGACTTGCCATAGGCGATTGACTGCTCGTCGGTGGGCTGGGGGAGACCGAGCTTTGTAGCGATCTGGGGGAGAATCTTGGCAATCAGGGCATCGTAGTTCAAGCCTGGGGTGGCTGCTTGCTGAGCCACCTCGGCTTCATGGTAGACTTCTAGAAGTTTCTCTCGAGAAAATGAGTTGGTTGCATTGTGTGAGGCAAGGAATGGCTGCATTCCGCCCAAGACGCCAGCTTCCCAATCAACTATCGTGCCGAAGCAGTCGAAGGTGAGAACTTTGTAGTCGGTAAGCTTGGCCATTTTCTTTATGCTGATCTTCCCTTTGAATAGTGAACTTGATATGAACAGAAAAGAAGGATGCTGTTGGCCGGGTTTCTTCGAGCTTTTGTTTTCTAATTAGATTATACTGGACAGAAAGCAGCTGAATGTGGTTGTTGTGGGTACTTGAGTTGATATGGACCAAACTGTTAATTCATTCAGGATTCTCTCGCCGTCTTATATCATGTTCATGGACCTCTGGTGAAGTAATAGCTTGAAGAGGTTACTTTCGGGTTAGAAACATAGTTGAGGTGGGGGATCGTCGGCTGCGGTGCCGATTCCGGAGCCGGACCGGTGTGCAGGCGCAGACGGCTGAGATTTTGCTCCAATTCAAGATACGATTCAAACTGAAAGTCAAATTAACAATTAAACCTCTATATTGAGGTCTCTACTCAATTTGGTACTCATTCTGGTTCTAGGAGGGCTTCAAGACGACGAAGAATTAGAGGATACCGATTCCGGAACCGGGCCGGACTGCTGGCGACAAAACACAGCTCGTTATCTAGTATCATGAAGTGTGCCAGTAGACACATCCAAAATTTTGGCTTTAATTCTAGTCCCTGTCAATTTGCCAATCCTTAGCACCAGATCCCAACCCCGGGAGCTCGGTCCTAGCGGCTTAAGGCCCGGAAATTGTTTTCTAAGACCTATCAAAGGTGAGAATTGTCATTTTTAGGGCGTGGAGATAAACGAGCAAACGGCCACCGTCGGCATTGTGTGGACACGAATCGAATCATGATGTAACTAAACCAACAACATGGGGGCACATTGACAACTAAATCTCTTTTTGGAGCAATTATACTTGATCTAGACTGTAAGACAGAGAGCGCCTTCTGGAAACACACACCTTCCGGTTCCCAGAGTATCATTGATAGAGAAATAGTCACCGGACCGGACAGATGAGTGGCGAGTTGCAGGCCATCGAGGAAAGGGCGTGTCAGTGTTGAACTTTGGTGCCTCCAAGAGCTTGAGAGAAGGAAGAATACGCTGCTTTCAGTCGGTCATTGGAATCAGCGAAACGACAAGTCTTAATTATACATAGGTGTGATAAGATTATTTCTGACTGGGATCTAAAATACATAGTGAGGGGGAAAATGACAGCTGTGAAGTATATGAAAGGACGAAAGCCCTCTTCTTACGACAGCTCCTTATATGTTGGAAGTTTCCAGCCCGACCCATACTCAGGGATGTCGAAAGAGTTGATCCCCAAGAAGGAAGCCGTACTAAGGATGAAGTTGGCAATGGAGACCCCCCAGGAAGACGAAGGCATAGACTTGAAAACGTTCTTCTCGGGTAGACCTTTTTGAATGTCATTTATCATCGGGTGAAATGTTTCATGATAAGCCTCCAGGGCCCTTGGAATGCCTTCGCTATTGCCGTGTTCAGCCACGCCGCAGTGTTTTCCAATCTCGCCAGCTAGGACATAGGCCCCCACCATCGCAGATGTGGTTCCCATCCCAGTTGCCACTGACGAACAGAATGCTGCATCTCCCACCAGAGAAACCCGCCCCCGAGACCAAGATGGAAGCTTCACAACACCCAGTTCTTGGTAACTGAAGTTTTCGGTTGTCTTCAAATGGCTTGAGATACTCCTTGCTTCCCACCCGGCATCTTGGAAGATCTCCTCGAATGCGGCCTTCTCCTCTTCCAAACCTTTCAGATGAGCATTCTTGAGACGGTCCGAGTCGGTTTGGCAAAACAGATACACCTGAAGTTCATCTGGGTTGGCTCTCCTTGTCATAATGGCCCTCTTTCCGGGGGCCATATATGTCGTCGCAGCATATTCTTCACCTTTCTGAATTGGTCGGGGTATGGTAAAGTAGGCCGCAAAGGTGCCGCCAAGAGGATAGAACCGGTCTGATGCGCCAGTTCCAAACATCGTCTTGCGCAACCGAGAGTTTTGCCCATCGGCCCCGACAACAAGATCGAATTTGTCGGATTTTCCATCCGAGAAGCTCACATGGACTGCATCCTTGTCTTGCTGGAAGTTTTCGATTGATTTCCCGAAAACAAACTTGGTCTGGTTCTTTACCGCTGCATCGTGAAGCATGCGGCACAAGTCTCCTCTCATGATCTCGAAATCAGTCGTGAGAGAGTTTGAATTCGCAGGGTTTGCGGGGAAGGTTGCTCTTCGCCTTCCTGAGCTATCAACGACCAGAATGCCCTGCTCTGGGGCTTTCTTGGAGCGATACTCCTGCTCGAGGCCCATGCGCTTCAGCACCTCGACACCGTGGCCCCTCAAGTCCACCTGGAGCCCGGTGGCTCGCAAGCAGGGGAACCTTTCTATGACCGTGATGTCGTGGCCGATTTTAGATAGCCAGTAGGCGAGAGCGTTGCCAGCAATCCCGCCGCCGGCGATGAGTACCTTGAGCGGTGCCATTAGGGTGTTGGTTCTAAGGATTGTCGTCGTCTTCTGAATGATAGATAAGGAAGAAGGGAGATTTTCTTGGCATGATACAGAAATATCACTTGATTGACCCTGGAATGGGCGGATTTATAAAGCAAGATGTTAGCATGTGCTGGTCGTTATGTCCGTCAACTTCGGCCGACAGACTGACGGACTAACGGACTCAACACTTCGGCCGAAGTAAACATCAGATGCGCTAAAGGTGGCCGGCCATTGCCAATTTGATCAAGAATTTGGGCTGAAAGATTTGATTAGAATAACTCGGTATATTTTTATTATTTGGGTTATTTTTATTTCCGTCTACTTCTGCTCAGTAAGGTAGTGGTGGAATTGATCGATCGAGGTTACCTAGTTGTTTGGTATAGCGAGCTGTATTCATTTCAATCACTCGAGATCTCTCGAAGAAACCAAAATCAGGTAGTAAATTTTTAGTTCAAAGAATTGAATAAACGAGAAGAGGACTGGGAAGAGGAAATCGATGAAAATTGAGTTTTGTTCCAGTTTACTGTAATTCCATTGAATTGTTTTATTTTAGTGCGAAAACGCTCAACTTCTAGACATTTAACGGAACCTCAAATTTGAAGATAAGCCCGATAGAAAGTTTCAATGGCAATATTTTATGTGAAATTCACGATGATGGTGAATTGAATTTTTTCTACTTGGGGACCATGATTCGCAACCAATTTCCCATCGCGAGTGCGGCGCTGCGAGGGTT